TTTTCAGGTCTTATTTTTTTTATTGAATGCCAGACTAAGTTTCACAATTATGTAAATATTTATTACATTATAAAATACTATACATAGTAATTATAATAATAACTTGAGGCAATGCTTGATGCTATCTTCCTCCACAGATTTACATTTGCTTCTAGCAAACAATAAAGCTAGGAGCAGATTCTTTAATCCAATCAGGGATTGAGGTAATGTGAAAGCTGGGCTTCAGCTTTTGTAAGAGCTGATCTATTCTGAGTTCACCCTTAAGCACAGGGTGTAGCCCATCCTTCAGGGTTCCCAACTAAAAGCCTGAGGTATTTTCCAGTGCCCCTTCTTTCTTTGCAGCCCCTGAAATCCAACTGTGTCCCCTGGTGCTGCATAACCACCAAAACTCTGCTTAGAACCTCAGTCTCTCTGCCATTACTTTGTGCTTAATCTCTTAGCTGCACATCTCAAATCGGCCAATCACCCCAAGGGAAAAGCTGTACCAAAAGTTGGCCCTCGCCCCTGAGTTTACCTTCTCTCCAAAATTTTGGTCTCTGTGGTCCCTTCTTTGCCTTGCTCACTTTCCAAAGCCTTCAAGTATAGATTTTTAAAACAATATTTCCCATCTTCTCTAATAGTTGGTCTCAGTTGGAGCACTGGCTTAGAAAAAGCTATTCTACCACTGATAGAAATGAAAATCCCCCTAGTGGCCTGTTTTGTGATATAAAGAGATGTCACAGGATCACCTTATAGCATTCTTGACCCCAACACGAAATAAGCCATTTTTCTAAGGTACCCTAAGTTCCTTGTAGTGGGAATTAGTATTTACAGAACAGAATCTGGCATTAGAAGTGCTCAATGCTACCTAGGTTGCTTTCTGGGATTTTCCAGCAGAGAAAATCAGACAATACATTTTCAAAAAAGAAAAAATATCGTGAGTTCATACTGACATCTCCAACTCAAATTTATGATCCCAAGATTCTTAATCAACAACTTCTCTGTTTCTACCTTTGTATCTCTCTTTTCCACACCAAAATCCAGGGCCCCAATCCAATAAAATTATCCACTTGTTTTCCTTAACAACACATACTTCCAGAACAATACCAATAATTCCAGCTATACAATTACTAAAAACAGTTTACAATATTTTTGCAGTTGTTTGTCCTTGAGGATATGTCCCTCTAGAAATGTATAATCAAATTACTATGTTTCAAAGTCATTTGAAAGACCATGTGCTTCAGCCTCAAACTTAATACACATTTAGGTTCACTTACTCCATTTTGCACTTGATTCTTAGTGATTGCCTTTTTTCTCTCATTTTAATTTATTTTTATTTTATAATATGGTAAAGCATTGGCATGGCTCTAAATGTAATCCACAAAATAAAGAACATTCAGAAGTCGAGCCTCCATCCCTGTTTCATCCACCCCATTCCCTCTCTCTCCTTAATCATTTTTATTAGTTTTTGGTTTATCATTCCATTGGTGTGTTTATATGTATGCACAATATACATTTATAGATTTATAGATCCCCTTTCTTTAAAAAATGATAGCGTACAATACTACTGTTCTGCTACAGTGGTTTTTTTTTTTCATTTAACAATATATTCTCCCCAACAGCAGTATATAGCTATTTCTCCTTCCCTTTTATAGCTACATAGTACTCTGCTCTGTGAACATGTCATACTTTATTTAACCAGCCCTCTAATGATACAAGCCCAGACTGAACTACTATTGAATTTTGTTTTACAGTTTAAATTCACATGAAAATTCAAATGGTCTCACTGTGGTGACCAAATTGCTAACCTGCTGGTATTCTGGCCTTTGCTTTAACAGCTTTCAACAAAAAAGTTAACCATATAGACAAGACACAAAATATGCTCACAAAGCCCCTACCCAGACCCCTGATAATAGGGTTCTCAGATTAACATCGAAATATCCGCAGAGCTTTAAAAAACACAGATGATGTGGCCCTAACACAAACCCCTCTTGGGTGGAATTCAGCATTGCACTGGTCTTTTTTTTTTTTTTTTTTTTTTTGAGACGGAGTCTCGCTCTGTCGCCCAGGCTGGAGTGCAGTGGCCGGATCTCAGCTCACTGCAAGCTCCGCCTCCCCGGTTCACGCCATTCTCCTGCCTCAGCCTTCCGAGTAGCTGGGACTACAGGCGTCCGCCACCTCGCCCGGCTAGTTTTTTTTTTTTTTTTTTTTTAGTAGAGACGGGGTTTCACCGTGTTAGCCAGGATGGTCTCGATCTCCTGACCTCGTGATCCACCCGTCTCGGCCTTGCACTGGTGTCTTTAAAAGCTCCACAAATGATTCTAATACACCAAATCAATAACACACTTTCTATATATGATCTTGTAATGTCTAAGTGTTAAAGTAACTGACTTAAATTTTTGGCACCAATACCAAAAATATTTCTGCATTCCAAAGTTTCATCTCTAATCACAAAATTTTGATCTAATTTCTTAAATTCAAAAGAAAGACAAAGATTCGTCATTAATATTTACTCATACTAGTGATCTAAAATGTAAAATATTAAGCATTTGTCCTAATTATTAAAAAAATAATAAAGCTACAACCATTATAAATGATATAACATTATAAATGAATGCTATATGTTTTAATATTTAGGACATTCTACTACACCCATCCACAATAATTAAAACAACCGTAAAATAACATGGCTCCCTCATATTTTTAAATAATAATAAATCATCAACCTTGAAAGACTCATTAAAAGCAACGGACCAGTCCTTTGCTCAAATCCTGGGCTGTCCCTGGAATTGTCCTGGCTGGATCAAGGTCTCCACGATACTCCTACAGGTAATTCCATCTGCATCCATGGCTTCATCTATCACCTCTGTGTTGCTAACTGCCCAAGCTGTATTTCCAGCTCAAGGCTAGACCCATGTTTCAGACTTATATTCCTTATATCAAAAATTTAAGTCATTAAATCCCCTCCTTTTATGTTTTCTTTAAACAACTTTGTCATCTACCCTATCTTCCAAAAAATTATTGACTCTTTCTTCACCTTCACCTCCATTCATTCAGCCTACAAACCAATCTCATCTTTTTCCCTCTTTGATCCCACTGCCAACGCCAATGCTCTAATTTGAATTCTCCTCCTCCCTGTCTAGTCTACTGCAACAGTCTCTTAACTGTGGCTCAGCCCAGTTCCCCAGTCTGGACAGTTCTTGGCAGAGCCACCTGTCATCTTCTTTACAATGTTATAAAGGGCAATCTGATCAGGTCAAAACCTGCCTGGAAACCTTTGCATGCCTTAGCACAACATGCAAGGTCTGTGACAATCCAACCCCAACTTACCCAGCCTGCTCCATCACTAGCCACTGCTCCCCAGACTGAGCAGACCATACTGTGGCAATATTGACTAGTATTTCTTCCTCAACTAACCTGCATTAAGTCTTTGTGGCTTAGCACAGCCTGACTTCTCTGTCTAGAATAACTTATTTTCTCCTAACCAACCTTTCAGATCCCACTTCAAATGTCCCTTGGAGCTCTGAGAACCTGTGCCCCAAGTTTTCTGTGCTGAGCTGATTAATGCCTTCTCCGTCGTAAATGCATCATGTGGTTTGATTATTACTGTTATAGAGAATAATCTCTGCCCACGATACTGCCAAGATTTTCTCAAGAACATATCTCATTCACCTCTTTTTCGCCAGTGCCTAAAACATCCTAGATATTCATGTAACATTTGTTGCCTAATAAATAACAGCATCAACTCTAACACAGTTTTGCAACAACAAAAATGTTCAAGCTCTTATTAAGAGCAAAGTTTGGCCGGGCGCGGTGGCTCAAGCCTGTAATCCCAGCACTTTGGGAGGCCGAGGCGGGTGGATCACGAGGTCAGGAGATCGAGACTATCTTGGCTAACATGGTGAAACCCCGTCTTCTACTAAAAATACAAAAAACTAGCCGGGCGTGGTGGCGGGCGCCTGTAGTCTCAGCTACTTGGGAGGCTGAGGCGGGAGAATGGCGTGAACCTGGGAGGCGGAGCTTGCAGTGAGCCGAGATCGCGCCACTGCACTCCAGCCTGGGAGACACAGCGAGACTCCGTCTCAAAAAAAAAAAAAAAAAAAAAAGAGCAAAGTTTACTATAAAGGAAGTCCAGAACAATCTTATGTGTATCCATTACAGTATGGGAAAAAAAAAAATTTCAAAAGCTAGAGAACTGCAGGTGGACCTTTCTTTCAAAGTCATCTGAACACTGACTCTATTCCCTCAGATGAATAGGTGCTGTGTGGATGCCTAGTTCGGTTCAAGAACAAAGAAAGTTCAATGGTTTACAGCAGCTATAAAGAGGTTGTTCATGTTTTTTTTAAAACAGAAATAAAAACTCAGGCTAGCCAGACTGGTTCATGCCTGTAATCCCAGCACTTTGGGAGGCTGAGCTGGGAGGATTGCTTGAGGCCAGGAGCTTGAGACCAGCCTAGACAACACAGCAAGACCCTATCTCTACAAAAAAATAAAAACAGGTTGGCCACAGTGACTCATGCCTATAATCCCAAACACTATGGGAGGTCAAGGCAGATGGATCGCTTGAGCCTAATAGTTCAAAACTAGCCTAGGCAACATCATGAGACCCAATCTCTACCAAAAAAAAAAAAAATTAGCCAGGTGTGGTATGGCACACACCTGCAGTCCTAGCTACTCAGGAGGCTGAGGTGGAAGGATGGCCTGAGTTCAGAAGTCAAGGCTGCAGTGAGCTATGATAATGCCACTGCACTCTGGCCTGGTGGCAGAGTGAGACTCTGTCTCTAAAAAAAAGTTTCTTTTAATTATATACACACACACACACACACACACACACACAAAAACATACCTACATATGTGTATGTATTTATTATATATATTAAATTATATATTATTTATAATACACATATAATTATACATTTTATATAATTATAGATAATTATATACTTTATATTTTATATAATTATAAATAAACATATGTACCCACTATACATATGTATTTTTATATATTAGTTATTTGTGTGTGTGTGTGTGTGTGTGTGTGTGCATCTCTCTCTTTCTCTCTCTCTCTCTGGACAGTACAGCAGCAAAAACTGAGTTCCGGAACCAACAAAACTCAATCCTGATCTTACGGCAGAATTATCTCTTCCCATTCAGCTCAGTCCACCTGAAATGATAAAACAGCCCCATTCTCCAATGCTCAAAACGTTGATGTGAGTTTCGTTAGTTTCTTCCTGTGCTTGATATCCCATTCATCACATGTATGAACAATTTATGACATAACTGCCATCAAAGACTTCCTTAGATGTATTCCCTCATCTCTATTCCCACTCTACCCCAAGCTCAAAAATAATTCATGGTAATCTTATTGCCAACACTGCTGGCTACCTTCAGCAGCTTCTGAGACCAGCCCACAAAGTCTACTAAGCACCTTACAGCAGAACAACATTCCTAAAGCACCAATGTCACCATGTCACTACCCTTGTCAATATTTAGAATAACTCTATACAGACTGTAGAATGAAGTCTGAACTCCTCCTGTTCCTGACATTCTAACTATTAAGAATGTCCATCCTTCTCCTCTCACCTGCCAAGCCAATTCTCATGGTCCTCCAGACACTCGGTGCCCACTCTTACCTCTCGTGTGCTTTTGCTCCTACCGTATTCCCCCTCCTTCCCGGAGAACACGCACACACGCACACACACACACACACACACACACACACATTCCCCTATCTAGAATATGCTTTCAACCCTTTTTGTATATTCAACAACCAGAATCTCTCACAGGGCCCTGAATATTAGGCAAAAATAAGCATAAATAAGGGTTACATTCAACCTGTTGGCTATCAGGTCTCTGTAACTATAATCTCTTTGAAAGAGTCCATGTAAATATATAGCAATGAAAGAAAAGAAAAGGCAATGGGCAAAGATAAAGAAAAGAAGTTTAAGGATCCTGATATTTAACTGCACTCCTCTTAGTCATCTGATACCTTTCATTTACATTCAACCTTACACTTTCCAGAAATTTTTTATGGTTATTTAAGACTACAAAGACCTATACAATCTTGCTTCTACCCATAAATGAAGAAAAAAGAATACTAGCAGATACTTAGATAAGTTTTGGGGGTTGAACAGACAAGATTTCACAATAGTTTGCAAGTGAGTAAATGGGAATAAAGAAAACACCCAGGTTTCTAGCCTGCGTGGTCTCATACAAGTGCTAATAAAACTGAGGGTCAAACAGGCTTGGAGTAAAAATTAAAAGTTCAGTGTTACAGTATTCGAAGTCCCCAGACTGAGAAGAATATCTGAGTTTCAGGTATATATACAGAAGACGATTGAGTGCAGATGCAGAGCAAGTGCCCAGAAGAACTCTGACTTTTACAAGCCAGAAGAAGACAAAGTCTGCAAATGAGCAGTCAGTCAAGCATGGCAAAAAAGAAACAGAGCACGGAGTCCCAGAAATCCAGAAGCAAGTTTGCAAAAAGGAAGCAGTGAAATGTTATGAAGTTTTGTAAGACAAGGCCAGAGAATTAACCACTGGATTTGACAAGCTATGGACACTGCTGCTCCTATGATCTCTGACAGTCACAAGTTACAGAGAAAATTGGAAGTGAGGAAGTAGGACAAGAGAACAATTTCATTTGCAGGAGTTTTGTTGTAAAATGAAACATAGAAATGAGGCCACATTTGGAGAAGTCATGGGAGATAAAAGAAGGGTTTTTTTTTTCCACCCAGAGAGCTAATAATCTACAGATAATTATTAGAATAAATAAAATACTTTAGGAAAGGTGCAAAAAGTCCATTGCATGTCCTTTAACCAGCAGCAAACAACTAATTATAAACATTTTAAGAGAGGCTGCGGCTAAGAAAAGATGGAGACAATACTGGTGCAGCAGCAGTGCTATCATAAGAAGGAAAGGCTCATGGATGTCATGGCCAAAGAGATGCTGACTAAGAAGTCCACGCTCCGGGACCAGATCAATTCTGATCACCGCACTCAGGTCATACAAGACAGGTATATGGAGGTCAGTGGGAACCCAAGGGATTTGTATGATGATAAAGATGGATTACGAAAGGAGGAGCTCAATGCCATTTCAGGACCCAATGAGTTTGCTGAATTCTATAATAGACTCAAGCAAATAAAGGAATTCCACCGGAAGCCCCCAAATGAGATCTGTGTGCCAATGTCAGTGGAATTTGAGGAGCTCCTGAAGACTTCGAGAGAATCTAAGTTAAGAGGCACAAAACTTGGTGGAGTTCACAGATGAAGAGGGATGTGGTCGTTACCTCGATCTCCATGACTGTTACCTCAAGTACATTAACCTGAAGGCATCTGAGAAGATGGATTATATCACATACCCGTCCATCTTTGACCAATTATTTGACATGCCTAAAGAAAGGAAGAATGCAGAGTGTAAGACATACCTAGAGATGCTGCTTGAGTACCTTCAGGATTACATAGATAGAGTGAAGCCTCTCCAAGACCAGAATGAACTTTTTGGGAAGATTCAGGCTGAGTCTGAGAAGAAATGGGAGAATGGGACCTTTCCTGGATGGCAGAAAGAGACAAGCGGTGCTCTGACCCATGCTGGAGCCCATCTTGACCTCTCCGCATTCTCCTCCAGGGAGGAGTTGGCCTCTCTGGGTTTGGACAGATTGAAATCTGCTCTCTTAGCTTTAGGCTTGAAATGTGGCGGGACCCTAGAACAGCGAGTCCAGAGACTATTCAGCACCAAAGGAAAGTCCCTGGAGTCACCTGATAACTCTGTCTGCCAAAAATCCCAAGTCAAAGAGCACCAAGCGAGACACTGAGAGGAACAAAGACACTGCTTTTCTAGAAGCCCAGATCTATGTATACTCTGACTCATGGGGAACAGCGACATCTCACTCATGAATATGTACAGCGCAAGCAAGCAAGGACAGGAGAAGAGCAAGAAGAGGAAGAAGAGCAGATCAGTGAGAGTGAGAGTGAACATGAAAAGAACGAGATCATTTACAACCCCAAAAACCTGCCACTTGGCTGGGATGGCAAACCCATTCCCTACTGGCTGTATAAGTTTCATGGCCTAAATATCAACTATAACTGTGAGATTTGTGGAAACTACACCTACCAAGGGCCCAAAGCCTTCCAGCAACACTTTGCTGAATGGCATCATGTTCATGGCATGAGGTGTTTGGGCATCCCGAGCACTGCTCACTTTGCTAATGTGACACAGATTGAAGATGCTGTCTCCTTGTGGGCCAAACTCAAATTGCAGAAGGCTTCAGAATGATGGCAGCCTGACACTGAGGAAGAATATGAAGACTCAAGTGGGAATGTTGTGAATAAGAAGACATATGAGGATCTGAAAAGACAAGGACTGCTCTAGTGTTCAGGGATGTAGCTCAGCTTTTGGGCTAGCCCAGGCTTCCCTGAGATCTGCTTTTTCTTTTTCTCCCAACCAAATCCTCTTAAAGACCCTTTGTTACATAGTCTCATGGTCTAGCATGCATCCTGCAGAAACAAGGCATGCTGGCAGATTGCAGGGTTGAGATGTGTTTTATATTTTAAAAGATTCTGCCAGAAATAAAACCAGACCTTGTTAAAAAAAAAAAAAAAAATTAAAGATACAATTTACAAAAGCATAAAAAACATCAAATATCTGTGGTTCACACCTGTAATGCCAGCACTTTGGGAGGCCGAGGCAAGCAGATCACTTGAGGTCAGGAGTTCGAGATCAACCTGGCCAACATGGTGAAACCCCATCTCTACTAAAAATACAAAAATTAGCCTAGCATGGTGGCGCACACCTGTAATCCCAGCTACCTGGGAGGCTGAGGCAGGAGAATTGCTTGAACCTAGGAGGCGGAGGTTAGAGTGAGCCAAGATCACGCCACTTCACTCCAGCCTGGGCAACAGACCAAGACTCCGTCTCAAAAAAAAAAAAAAAAAATCAAATATCTTGGAAAGAGATATACAAAACCTCTGCATAGAAAATTATAAAGCATTAAGGCAAATTAGAAAAGATTTAAATAAATAAAGGTATACACCATGTTTGGGGTTCAGAAGACTCAACATTATAAAAGCTGTCAATTCACTTAAAACTGAGTTATAGGTTCAGTACCAACCTAATCATATTCTCAAGATATTCTTCTTGTCAAAAACAAACAAAGTGACTCTAAAATCTATATGGAAATGCCATGGACCAAGAATAGCCAAAACAAACTTGGAAAAGAACAAGAAAAATAAGTTAAGGAGACTTGACATAAATCTATACTAATTAAGACAGTGCAGTATTACTGACATAAGGATAGACAAACGGACCAAAGGAATAGAATAGAAAGTCCAGAAACAGATCATATATACATAAACACCTGATTGATAACAGAGACAGCACTACGGAGCACTGGGAAAAGAAAGGTCTTCTCAAAAAATGGGACTGGATATGCATAAAGCAAATAAATGTGACTCTAATAAATGTGAATCTGAATATGCATAAAGCAAATAAATGTGACTCTAACCTCACACCACACACACACACCCCTCTTTCTCCAGGTGGACTGTAGATTTAAGTGTGAAAGACAAAACAATGAAATGTCCAGAAGACAATATAGAAGAGTATCTTCACAATCTTGGGATAGGGAAAGATTTCAACAAGACACAAAAAGCATTCTCCAAAGGGAAAAAAAATCAATACATTTCACTACGTTAAAATCAAGAAGTAAATGCAATCTGCAATATAACATCATTTTAACTGCCAGCTGAACCTGAAAAAAAGTAAGAGAAATCACTAAAGGCCAAAATTAGAGACCTGAAAATCAGAGCAGGGAACATGTTAGCCAACTCCACAGTGTCCTGTGAGAGGCTGTCAATCTCCATGATCCAAGAGCACATCACCCTCTATAAAAGAATCTAGATCTAAATGCTCAAAAGGAAAACACTGAGGCCGAGGTCAATGTAAGGCAGGGAGTTGGAACCGAGAGCCCTTCAAGAAGGATGGAACCCTTAACGAGCTTTTAAAAACCAAACCTAGCTCTTAGGCACAGAAAAGCAACAAGAAAGCAGTTTCAGCATGGATCAAGGCAGGGGAAAATCCCTCCCAATTACTTCATAATGAGTCCCACACCCACTTGAGTTCTAATATATACTACCCTCACTTGGGTTCTAGCTACCCATAAGAAAATAAAATTAACATAGAAAGTAGCCCCAGGTCAGAATACCCCCAAATATATCTAGTAAAAATAATTACAAACTCTCTCTAGAGACATCTGTCTATTGATAAAGTCTCACTGAAGAGAAACTCAAATTTTCAACAAAATTGAAGCAATGCACCATGAACAAAAATCAGCAAATTAACAACAGGATTAGACCCTATAAAGTTCAGTTACTAGAACAATCCAATAAAGAACACAAAATAAATTTAATTTTGGAGGCCGACATGGGTGGATCACGAGATCAGGAGTTCAAGACCAGCCTGGCCAAGATGGTGAAACCCTGTCTCTACTAAAAATACGAAAAATTAGTCTGGGGGGTATCATGTGTGTATATCAGCTACTCACCGAGGTAGAGAACTGCGCGTAAACCTGGGCAGAGAACGAGCAAACAACACCAGCCGGACGAGCATAAGGTGGGTGGTCTCAAAACAGATTATTAATATTAATTTAAATTGTGGCGAAGGCACAATAGGATCAAAAGTATCAAAAACAAAAAATAACACTATGAAAATTAAGTGAACAGTTTATTAATTAAAGTGTAAAACGCTCTAGATATTAGAATTAAAAATATAATCACTGAAATGAAAATTTAACAAGTTACAACAAATTAGAAAGTTAAAGTGAGGAATTTGGGAAGTAGGAGAACAGATATCGAGGAAATTATTCTGAATGCAACAGAAGGGAATAGAGAGATAAAAATTATGTGAGAACGGCTAGAAAGTAAAGAGAATGAAAGAATTGGCGACATACATGTCTAAAAGTCATCTAAGAGAAAATAACAAATTGTAAAGGAAGTTTATAAAAGATAACTACCTGAGAATTTCCCAGACATGATGACAGACTTGAATCCTCAGATAAAGAATGCACATACATTGAGCAAAATAAAAATAAATCCACATTTGGGCACATCATAATAATACTACATTAATACAATCAACCAAAGAGAAAGGGAAAAAAAAATAACAGAGAGATAGACTATGAGTAAAAGCAAGAGCACGTATAAAAAACCAGAATGGTTGGGTATGGTGGCTCACACCTGTAATCCCAGCACTTTGGGAGGCCAAGGTGGACAGATCACTTGAGGCCAGGAGTTCGAGACCAGCCTGGCCAACACAGTGAAACCCCACATCTACTAAAAATAAAAAAGTGGCTGGTCATGGTGCGCTACATGTAACCACACTATCAGGAAGGTGAGGCACTAGGATCGCTGTGATCCGAAATGCAGGAGGTCTGCCAGTGAGTTCAAGATTGCACCACTGCAATCCCAGCATCGGGTGACAGAGCAAGACTCTGTCGTCAAAAAAAAAAAAAAGAAAGGAACACAAAATGGCACACTGAAGATATGCTTCAAACATAATCTACGTTAGCTGGCGGAGGAGAGAGGGCTGAGGAATGGGGCAGTGGTAAAGTGAAAAAGACTGGACAGCGGCAGAATGTTGAGCTCGGGACAGACACGTCAGACTTGTATACTTTCCATTTTTGTTTATTTGAATTTCCAGAAGAAGCGCTAAAAAGAGAGGAAGAAAAAAAAAATTTACCTATGAAAAATTAGACTGAAGCTGACTTTGAAAGATCAGGTTAATAAAAATCAGGAAGACATTGAAAACATATTCAAATTGGCTCAAAAAAAACACTGATCAATCTTTAAATTCCACCGAGCTTAGAGCATGCAAGGGGAAGACAACACTAAACAAGAGAAAAACACAGGCGGCGCAAAAAAAAGCCTCACAAGCACAGTGCAAAAATTCAGCAGGCGCAGGCTCATGCCGACCCAGCACGTGAGAGCCGAGGCAGGGGGTCATGAGCAGGCCAGACCGCCGTGACCAACATTGGTGAACCCCGTCACCGTCTCGACGAAAAAAGACAAAAGATACCCAGGCACGGGTGCACCGAACCAAACTGTGGGGGTAAGGCAGGAGACACTTGAACCCAGGGAGCAGAGGCAAAGCCAAAGATCGCAGCATGGCGACGCCAGCCGGAAACAGAAGCGCTGTCTAAAAAAAAAAAAAAACACCGTACCGGGCGCGGCCAACCAACCAGCATTGTGAGCGAGAGGGGACACGAGGTCAGAGATCGAGACCCCGCTAACGGGGAAAGCCCGCACAAAAGATACAAAAAACGAGCCGAGGTGGGGGCGCCTGTAGTTCCCAGAACTCGGGAGGCTGAGCAGGAGAAAGGCGTAAACCTGGAGGCGAGTTGCAGTTGAGTGAGATCCGCACGCACCCAGCCTGGCGACAGACGCCAAGACCCGCTCAAAAAAAAAAAAGAAACAAAAAAAAAAACCTCAAAGTATTGGTAAATCAAATCTAAAAATCTGTATTAAAAAACATATCATGGCCAAAATGCGTTCAACTCAGGAATACAAACATGGTCTAACAATTAAAAACTGTATCAGTGTAATTTACCACATTAACAGATGAAAGACAAACATCAATATGATCACAGGTCACGTTCTATGTGCAGGGAACTATTCCATAGGATTCCTTTTAAAGTCAAGATCAAGACCGTTCAAAATGTCCTACAATGATAATATTCAACAACATGAACTAGCTCATTAATTAGACAAGAAAGAAGGTGTATATGGATTAGAAATAAACTGTCACAACTTACTGGCAGCATGACTATCAACATGGGAAACAGGAGAATCCACACACAAACTACCAGTACTACAAGAGCTTAGGAAGGATTCACAGATATACAAATTCAAAATACAAGGAAATCAATTCTGCCTTTGCACTTCTGCCATCACTATGACGGTGAGGCTCAGCCAGCCTCTGATACAGAGATGTGACAGCTGTGACACCCTCATCCCCACCAGCTGAGCCCAGTCAACCTCCTGCCTAGATCCAGAGAGGTGAATAAGTTTACTAGACATCAGAGAAGTGACCAGATAAATACAGATACTCATGAGCTACATATTACTGAGTGCAATAATAATTTTAAAATCCATTCCTAGGTACTATAGTAATCAATTAGTTTCTAGTAATAACAAAATTCTCTAGTAGTAAATCTAATAAAAGTGTGTCAGATCATTTGAAAAAAGCTATAAGAATTTACTGAAAGATATAAGAGACCTAAATAACTGGAAATATAAAGCATCTTTCCAGAAGGATGCGAAGGATGGAAAAGCCCTCTATTATAAAGATGACAGATTTCCCCAGGCTTATCTCAACATCAAGTGAAATTCCAAACAAAATATCAACAGGGATTTTTGTTGAAATTAGAGGAGCCAAGAGTTAAAAACAATCAAGACAAATCT